TTCTACGAAGAAAAAAAAACATATTTCCATCCTCTCTAATGAGCCTGGATGCTGGAGATGTTTCTCTTCTTCTCTCAGGCTTCAGAGCAGAACGAACACGACATGATATGGTTTATTTTAGGGTAGAAAAGTTCATTAGTCTAGAGATATTTTTAGATGAGATAAAAACATATGTGAATGTTTCAGAATCTTCGGCTGATGTTCGTCAGTGGGTCTGACTTTTCTGTCTTCATCATGCACCAATGGCTGATGTTCGTCAGTGACTTTTCTGTCTTCATCATGCACCAAAGTTTTCAGAAAAGAAAAAGAAGAAAGAAGAGAAGACCTTCTCTGCCCACAAAGTTCCTGCACGTGCTGATAGTCCTCCACATCTAGAACAGTAACTGCTCAAGGTGTAAATATTAATAATAATAGTACCAGGTCCCTGAAGAACCAACACACTTTCTAATAATAGTTCCTGCACTGAAAAGGCACATGGTTCCAAGTACTGTTCCTGGTAGCTGGCTATGCAGCCCATGGCAGAGACTGATCCAAACAGTTCCATCCAGGACTGTTCAAGGTAATCCCTTAATAAACTGATTTAATGTGGTGATATTAGAACTGTTTATGTTAATGGATCTGCCTGTTTACACAAGTGCATTTCATTTAATCTCCTCACCACCTGCAGCAACGTCCCACAACTGTGTGAGTTCCTGAGTGTTCTCGTGTGTGTGTGTGTGTGTGTGTGGTTTAGAGGAAATTAATTTGCATTCATGGAAATATGCACAAAGTCAATTACAGTTACATCTAACGTGCCTGTCTCTCTCTCTCTCTCTCTCTCACACACACACACACACACAGAGTTATCTCCAGTCTTGCCTCTCCAGCAGCTGCAGACTCAAACATCACTTTAATGAGATTTTTGGGTTTTTTTTTTCCTCTCTAATGACTCCTTCCATCAGGTTTCACAGACTGTTTATAAAAAGTGGACATTAACTTTCTCAGTCCTCAGTGAATCCTCAGAAAACAACAGCCAGAGCTTGTGCTCAGTGCGTCTTCAGAAGAGAAGAGTCAAAAAGTCGAAGGGAACCTCGAATAAACAAAAACAACTGGCCCCAAAATAACAAACATTTCCCACCGTCCTGAACTGTTTTATTCACCACATGTTAAAGAGAATAAAGTGGGAACGGATGCAGCCCCACCCAGCACCCTGGTACTGTATGTGTGTTCAGAGCCAGTCAGCAATTAAAAATCATGTTTATGAGCAATAAAACAAACGTTGGTGTTGTTATTTATATTTCCATCCAATAATATCACGACAGCCATAATAAAACCATAATGAGGTTTCTAGTCTCAGATCTGGAGGTTGTCAAAGGAGGAGCGCCTCCATGTGGCCGATGGATGTTTTTTTCCCTAAAGATAATGTTTGTTCCTCCTACAGTTTGAGATTGTTCAGAATGATTTTCTGTTCCTAGATTTACTTAAAAAACTTGAAAATAAAAGTACTGAAAGA